CTGTCGGCTACTACGGCTGCGATGGTGCCGCAAGCGGCACTGTACAACGGCTCGAGGAAATTAAGGACCTCTGTGGGTCGTGTTTGGAACATGGTGAAGTCCCGGAGTTTGTCCTGGACTTGCCGCTGATGTTCTGCGGAGGTGATCCTGATGTCGAAGGGCGTCGGGGGTGAGCTCGGGAAATATTGAACTTCGGCCATATAGGATGTCAATTCCCTAGCGTTATCGGTCGGTTTACAGGCGAATACCATGTAGTCGAGCTGCTTAGGACGGAATGGCGCTGTTATAAATGAGTTTGCGCGAATCTTGTGGGAGTCCTTTGGGTTTTGCAGTCTGTTTCGGTTCACAGTCACTAGTTGACGGTGTCCTTGCATGTAGATGCGAAATACTCCGTTTTGCCTTGACACGATGGATGTTACAAAGCCTAGCGTGGGCATCAGATCGCGGTGTATAAGGGCAAAGCGAGCCACGCGCCATACATTAGGTTGGCGCGCGTGGAATGCTTCCTCTACCGTGCAGGGTAGGGCCATTTTTGTGGTAGCAAACTTGATGGTAGGCGCTAGAGCGTAGACCCAGACTAGGTCGCCGATAATCATCTTAGTGATATCGATGCCCCGCTTACCTGTTTTGATGTTGACTCCGACTGGATCCAGTTGAATTGTGTGCAGGTCGAGTCTATCGGGGAAGGGTACCTCTATGTGTACTGACGATAGTTTGACTCCGCTACTGTAAAAAGCAGATATACGGTAAAGGACGGGCGCAGTCTTGTTGTCAAGAACTAAGCCTTGTACAGCTTCAGTGGCCTCCTTTGGCGTTGCGTGTGGCACGTCCGGTATGACCGGAAGGGGTACGTTGTTATTGCGCATGGTAATCATCTCTTCGGCATTATGTCTGTCCCTGAAATCTTCTATGGCTGTTGGGCCTACCGCTTCCAGAATGCACACGGGCTTTCCGCACCGAGGAATTGCTTCGGAGGGTTCTGGAAAAAGTCCGTCGACTAGACCGCTATATCCTGAAATTGGCATTCGTTCGAAATTACTCTCATGAAGGTTGGAATCATAGTATGGGGAGACGATTGGTGTGAACTTCTCCCGGAAGAATGATGACCATGGGTGGGAGTAAAACACTTCGGTTTGCCTGCTAGGTCTTGGAGGTTTGTGCGTAAGTTCCTTTCGCGGCGGCACGTATTGTTTGGACGAGGAAGGTTGCTTGGATGTACCTTGCTCTGGTACGGGCGGATGAATGGACGCCCTTTGCACTAGTGTGATTAAGGAATCTGGAACAGGTTCGCTTAATTTAGATCT